CCCATCTAAAAATTTATGTTTTTCCTGTGTTCTATTCTTAGTTACTTTGACACAAAGGCATCTGCTGTGATTCTTACACCTTTGATAAAGTCTCGCAAGTGTCAGCTGAACAAGAAGTTGTTCGGACATGAAGAGAATATTGCGAAAGGCCTACTCAAAGCCAAGTGCATAGCAACCATAACAATGCATGTATTTGTAACTAAAAAATCACAAAGATGAAACTGAAAACTTAAAGAGGGATAGGATGAAAATGGTAACAGATATGAAAAATCTGAATTGTACATGAATAGCCCAATACTTTAAGAACATTTTAAAGTTTGAATGGTTGTTCTGTTTATGTCTGCATTTAAATCCTAACCCTGAATAAGCCTAGTCGCCCATGACAAGCTCAACTATTAGCAAAGTAATTATGATTTGTTATCCTTGTGAGAAGCATTTTGTGATCTTTTATCTAGAAAGTACTATGTAAAAATGTTACTTATAAGATAAAAAAAAAACTAATAATTTGCAGAACCCCTTGTGGGTATACATGACTTTATATAATGGAAGTATATCAAACTCAACCAATGAAATGTGAGATTAAATATTCTCAGTGAACGTGAGAGTGGAAACATCAACATGTTGCTGTTTTGATGTTATCTATAAACAAGATGAAAAGGAATGTAAACTGTGATCAAGGGGAATTCCCAGAAGTCAAATTGAAAGTAAAAACGGATTTGGAAGACTTTAAAACTGTAGATAGGTTCACATTCTGGCATTGGGTGGCAGGCTTTCTCCAGCAAAGGTAGGTTCATTTTAATCCAAAGCAAAAATGAAATTGTTTCTGTAAACTTTGAATTAAATAGAATAAATACTTCATGTTTCAGTTATGGGTTTTTCGTCTTCAAAACCAGCTGCTCCATCTCTACGTAAGTTTATTCAAAAGCTATAATGATACGAGTTGTCATCCAATAAAAAAATGCACTATACATTGATGTTATTTTCTCATTAAATTGTTTCTTGTCAGTTCTTGAAAAACCATGGAGGAAAATTAACAATGGGTGAGTGAAGCTCACAGAAAAAAAATACATTTGAATTATTTCCTCTGTTTAGTCAGTAAACTACCCAGATTTTCCATGTCTATTCATTTTTTCCATGTAAGGTGTGAGATAATGTAATATTTCCTTTCCTGAGCAGAGAGAACCCAACTGATCAGCATTTTGTGGAGAACTACAAACCAGAGGTTGAAGAACAAAATCTTAGGATCCTTCTTCATGGTCCAGTTGGAGCTGGAAAATCTAGTTTCATCAATTCTGTAAACAGCGTCTTACAAAAGAGAGTATGTTGCAAGGCTTTGGTGGCTAACTCTTGTGACTGTTTCACCAAAAAGGTATGGACAGAGTACAACTATGCCAGTAACAGTTAATATGTGACTCACTAAATAACTTGTAGGCAGATCAGTGATCTGGCTTTATCCATGAATGTGCAAGTTGGTGAAGGCTATTATCTATCTTTTACTGTCATGTATGCCAAGTTAAC